AGCATAGATCTGAATGAGTTTAATGAAATATAGTAGCATGTCAGCCTATCATGGAAGAGAGTCGGCAAAGCAGGACAAACTGGAATAATATGTCTGTCTACTACAGAGCAAAGAGCTGGAGCTCGGAGCTAGGTGGGTTGGGGGAATATAGACTGAAGAGTAGAGTTGAGTGTAGAGTCAACAGAGTTGTGGGTCGAGCGCATCAAGAGTGGAAAAGGGGCTTGGAAATCAAGTGCTACTGCAGTTGAACTACAGAACCAAATTACGCTGTTTGCAAGAGATAAATCAGAACCATGAACTAGGAATTGCCACTGAGAAAACAAAAGAACATAACATAGGAGAACAGACTGAAATAGAATAGAATAGAATAGAATAGAATGAACAGATAAAACGGAATCTTAATCTGAATAAGAAAATCAGCACAATATATATTTATATATATATAGACAAATCTATGAATGCGGCTAATCCTGCTGACTCTCACCCAATCCTACTCTACACTGCCCTAAGTTTCTGCACGACCATGCTTCGTTTGTGTTAGGAAATGTCATTTTGGAGGTCTTAGCGTCCTTGCTCCTAGTAGTAAGGCCAGGAGCCCCTAGTAGTTTCTGGTTCCTAGTAGCGATGCCCTTTGCTCCTAGTAGCGTCCTTGCTCCTAGTAGTAAGGCCAGGAGCCCCTAGTAGCGTGTAGGTATGCGTCATGTGCAGACCTGCACGGATCAGGTCTGTATGAGTTGGCATTTGCTCATTTGCTCATACCCATTTCACGTCACATGTCCCTTTGAGGCTCGCGTCGGAGGCTAGCGGCTTTGATCTTGGGAGAAAGATCATTATTACCTCATGCTTTGACAGCAGAAAGCGTCAACAATGAGCTTGCGGATGCTACTGTATTGCTTGATGTAGTTGCAATCATCTGCACACCGTTGTTCGAACAATTGTGTTTTTGGGCACCAGCAACAAATCAAAGTGTTCTGAGAAGCATGTTAAAGCTCTTGATTTGGTAGGTTCCGAACATGGACATTTAAGATGATTTAAGTGAACTGCAGAAGGGTTTTCTCTCCAATGTAAACAGACCACGCATGAGGACGAGCTTGTTATTTGGCTTGGCAATGGCAATGGTAGACAAACAATAGTGCGGCCTGGAGGGCGTAGCTGCGCGAGGCGATTCTCACCTTGCCGGTTGGTGCTAGCTCTGCTGGGTCGGAGGCAATGGGTGAGCGGTGAGGAGGAATTACTACAAGACCTAATGAGGCATTTGGCAACCATCCCACTAGAAAAAAGCTGTAGTCTTAGTAGAGACTAGCTTAGCTGTATTGGCTCTAGGTCTCATTGACGAGTCATCTATTGTTTGCTGGCAAGGCTCTCAAGATGAGACCGACAGACAGATATGGAGGTCAACAATACAATGCCCAGGGCAATGATGCCTCAATACCAATGCCTGAAGACGACACGTGGGCATAAAACAATCTGAATCTAAGCTTGAACACGTTGAGATCTCCAAAGTGTATGAATCAACAGTTCTATGAATCGCAGGCCTCCATTCAGGCTTGTGTGACAGCGGAGATGTCACCTACGGTCAAAATAAGGTCGATCACATCGCTAGTTAAGTTTCCCTAAAAATCTAGGAACCACATCATTAGCGCGAGCTATCCTGCGTCCAGTTCCTAGTAGCTCAAGTAAGCTACTATATAGCTACTCCCTAGCTACTACTATCGCGGCCTGGGCAGAAGGAGCTGTCCCAATCTCAGGTCATTCTGGTGGGCGGTTCCTCGCGCTTTGTTAACTTCAAGGATCGCTTGCAGGTTGCCCTTGCAGAGCCTTGCCACGCAACCAATGTTGCTTGTATCCCTGTCCTATGCTGTCCTACTCGAGGGGATGCGTCAGCCAATAGGGATCTGCCTTGAATTAAAGATATAGAACAAGCAACTGGCAAAAGCCTTTTATCCCCTTTTTGGGCTCAAACTTGGTTTGAAGTGATACTTGAAGCGATGCCCGGCATCACAACCAATACACTCGACCAGAGTGGTCCACGACTTGGCCACGTCGTTTGAAGCTCTTCATCTCCCAGCATCTCAGTCCTCCCGACCTTCACAGGTTACCTCTTTGCTGGCTTCGACTTGAGTAATGCAACAAGAAGCTACTAGGAACAAGTGCATTGCTTCTAGTAACAAGTGCCTTACTAGTAGTAACAAGAAGCTATTAGAATTAAACTTAAATGCTTTTCCCTTTGTTACCTATTAGATCCATTTACTGTATATCCTATGAGTGCTTATGCACATGCATACACCTGCGTTAGGGTTAAAACTTACAACCATTCCTTCACAAGCAAAAGACAACGATGCCTCCCTCTAAGGAGAAGTCCAAATTTGTGCACAGCTGTGGAAAGTGGGAATCCCCATTTGTTTTGATGTGGCATGAGATTACACACGGAGGTTTGATAGGCTCACATATGAGGATGAAGTACCTGAAATGTCATATGTTCTTTTGAGTGTGCATGGACTCTAGACTCTAGACCTCTTTGGCTCTCTAGGTGCCTGTCCCACTGGTTTTGCTACCATCCTTGAAATACAAGCAGAGGGGTTCCATAAAGAAAGCTGTATTGGTAAAGTTTGCGCAGCTGGCTTTGTGAACTGTATACTGGTACTGTTGTGTTTGGACTTCTGAAGCATACCTCCGAATCGTGCAGCAACTGCTACCCCACCAACAGATTCGGTTTGTTTCGACAAGCTTGCAGAGAAAAAATGAGAAAAACAGTGTTGTGCGATGAACGATGCTGACAATTTGGGGCTTGACTTAATCGAGCCACCATGGTCTGAAACAGTTTAGTGAACACCGTGAACACCCAGAAAGATCCTAAAAGGAATTATTGCAAAGGATCTGTGAGCTCCAGGAGACTTCGAACCTCTCCCCATTTCTCCCCGCTCTACCTCCTCTTGCCCCATTGAGAATTGAGAACCATGCTTCACTATGAAGCCATCCAGTCAGGTTCCTTCTAGTGATTAAAGACCCGTGCGTCAAGTTAACCAAATGACAGCACCTTGCTAGACCAGAGCGAAATGTGTTTTTCTTGTCGGCAAGTTTGGCAGGATGTGAAAATTTGTGGACGTTTCATTCAGATGTTTATGGTAGTCCAACCAAGCAATTCACATGTTCTCCATCCTTGCCCAAAGCTCAGGACTATCTTGATGGTCGCCAAGTGAAAGTGACGCAAGTTGACAATCGCTACGTTACTTGGCTGTGCAAGATAGATAATAAGGAACAGCACTAGCCGATTTCAAGAGTTTCTTGACTGGATAAGTAATTCGTAAACACAGCTACTGTTTGTGCCGCCTAGTTTTCAATATTCCTATATAGACAAATACAGACCGACACAGGACCTTGCAAGGTGTTTCCGAAGCCTCATTGAGGGAAAGACTTTAAATTGGCTTATTGTCTCATTGAGGGTTGAAAGCTTCAAGTTCCAAGTTCCTTTGAAGTTACGTAAGTTTCCCAAAAAAATCCAGGAACCAATTCATTTGAAGCGTGAGCTACCCAGCGTCCAGTTACTAGAAGCGAACTATAGGTTCTCCCCTTAATTAAGTAGGCAATAGGGGGTATAGTTATATATAGCTAGGGAGGCAGGGCAGCGCGGGCTAAAAGAAAGCAATAATCAATTCAAAACAAATCAACACAAAACAAGCAAAACAAATAACAAAAACAAATTGCTTCCTTCGAGATGAAAGACCCGACTCTTGGAGGCCTCGTGCTTGGGTGCTTCTGTTGCAGCACAGCTGAAGCATCCCCTTGTTAGGCTTGGCAGACCGGGAGCATTTCCACAGCCAATACTAGACTAGATGGTGCTCTGGTGTGCGGTATGGACATGACGCCTTCTGTGTTTGTTTGTCTATTGTGTTTCATGGAAAGTGTCCAAAATCTAGGAACCGAATCGCTAGTGTGAGCGCTTCTTCAAAGGAGCTCCCCCCCGCCCTCAGGCGGGGTTCCTTGAAGAAACGTGAGCTATCCTGCGTCCAGTTACTAGAAGCTTAAGTAGCTAGGAGCTTACTCCTTGCTAGTAGCTACTAGCCACCTCTTCGGCCTACCCCCCCCCGTGGTAAAAGAACAATTGGAATGTATTGATTTGCGTCAATCCTTAGTGCTTTTGCTTTTGCTTCGATCAGGTGGGTCACAAGATCTGAGTACCAAGAACACGGGTCGCACGTCTTCACCCGGCTTTGATGGTGAGCTCTGGTTTTATTTGAGCCCATTCTTCCTTCTTACTTAAAATTTTCTGGGTACTAGACAGGTTAGAGAAGCAGCCTGTTTGAGTGTGTCTATGCAGTGGAAGAATTGGTCGGATACACCATTAGCCATGCTAGCGCATCGCTGGCGGAACTTTGTGAGTCTTGCGGATATGTGCAGGCAAACACTTGTTTGCACGTTCAAAGCTTGCTGATCGTCAGGTGGTCAGCTTGAGCACAACATGGCCAAAGTTGCCAGTTGGTTACATTCTACCACCACAATATACTCCGCTGTTGGTACACACCATGACTCTACAAGGCAAACTTCGAGAATGTATACAGGCCCTGTATGAGCATATTTTTCACGTCCAGTATCCAAGCAACCCCTTACATAGTTCTATTGCGCACAGGATTGATGGGATGATGTCCAAAGAGACTCGAAGTTCAGCGGCCCAAAAGTTGTTGGTGAACTTAACTAGCGCTCTAGCGTTTGACATTGACCATCCATGGAAGGTCGAGGAACTGGCATGAACCACTTGCACTCTGTCTTGATACTTCTCAAATTCCAGAGCTGTGTTCTAAGACTAGTGTCATTGGCAGTGCAAACATTGCAGACAAAGGGTGATCCTTCACATGCATTAGTTCACCGGAAACTAGACTATATATATATATAATTGTTTGATTTTGATTGGTTGATCCTCTTCCGTGGTTTGAGTTTGACTCTGTTGATTCATCCTTCACTTCTTGCAATTTATACGGTCTGCGATACGCCATGTGTCTAAGGACACATCGCTGGCGTCGCATTTTAGTTGAGCCCAGCTTGGGCGGCAGGTGCATTTCGGTGTCAAACACATGGCACTTGGGGTCTCGATGACGCAAGCGGACATAGCAACTACAGTACTGTTCCATGTCGCTTCTTCGCAGGAACAGGGTTATAACATGTTTGGTGAACCTGTCTAGATCATTCCAGAGGGTCAAATTATGGTATGTATGATGATACAGACCATGGCTAAATCTGTGCCAGCTCCTCAAGACCCTCAGGAACTCTGAATCAGACGCATCAGATCGAGCAAACAAGTACAGGATTCCAGCAAATGTTGTGTTTCTGTGATACAATTGTATTATATGTAAACGTTTTTGTTTCTCAGTCTTTCATTTTTGGAATTCGATTTGGAGATGGCTCCAGGCCGTGTCAAGGAGCCTTCAACGAGACCAGAGCGTGCACACATGCGGGTCGCCAGGAGAAGATGCGCATCTCCGGGTCGCATTTCCAAAGAGATTTTGTTCATTCCCTAGAAGCAGACAACTGGTTTTACGAAAGAATCCTTGAAGTATGCCCTCCATTTCCAAAAGGAGGGCTATTTGTTTAAGAAACAATAGGTGTTAGTGTTAAGGAATTTTGTTTGGATTTGCATTTTGTTGTTTTCCTTGCTTGTCATTGCTTCTCTGTGATTTCTCCTGCTTTTCTTGCTTTTGATTGGTTCTTTAGCCTCTGTTTTTCCTGCTTTTTTGTGCTTGTTTTGCTTTCCTTTGCTTTTCATTGCTTCCTGTGATTTATCATGCTTTTCTTACCTTTCTTGCTTCTTTTGCGCCCATCTCGCTCCTGGCTTTTCTCCTACTCTTCTTTACTTTCTTGCTTTTTGTCCTCTTGTGGCGTATTGTGTCCCTGTTTTAACTGCTTTTGCTTTCTATGGCCGTTTGTTGCCGTCGCTTTTGATTAGTTGCTTTTCAAGCCTGAAGTTTGTGTTGCTCTATTCTTGCATTTCTTGCTTTCTATACTTTTCTTACTCTTCTTGTTTATTTTCAGCTCTACTTGTTGTTGTGGTTTGTTTCACCTTCCGGGGCAACCCAAGTGCATCATATGAACAAAACTCTTGCTTTCTTTATTCCCTTCTCGGTTATGATGCACTTGTCTCCTTCTTTCGCCCTGCGGCCGGAGTTTTGTTGTTGTTATTGTGTTTGCCTTGTGTTTCAGTTGATTAGCATATTTTTTGACACAGGCCTTAGGCGCCCTGAAATATTCATGGACACGGTACAGGTATTTCTCCTACAAACAGCTAGCTTTCCACTTCCGCTCAAGGAAATATAGAGAAACCACGACCGCAAAAAAAATCATCAAAGGCAACTAGGCAACGCAAGAAATGTTAGTCGAAAGAGTTTCTAGGTATCAACCGGCAACGAACAAACAAGCCAAAAATGGTGCACACATAGAAAAAGACAAATTGTCCCCAGATTCTTCCAGACGAAGCTCCTTCATTCTGTATTTATATATATATATAATTGTTGCATCAATTTGGATAAACTTACAATCCGCATGATTTGGGTCTGTCCCATTACTTGCAACAGTCGGTAAGCAATTTAATCAAGTATATCAATTATCACTATGTTGGAGAGAGGCTTTTACTAAACATCATCTTCCACTGATACTGGTAATAGGATAGACCCCATGCAGAATCTAGGCTCCACTTTCACCCTGGGCTGCCAAGTCAACACCTGTTAATTTGGCAACCAATCTTTGGTTTATTACAGAGTTGGAAGTCAATGAGGTCAGACCGGTTTCCATTATTTTTAAGTAACACATAGGTATTTACACCCTCGGGAGTCCTCTCTGTCAGGGAACACCTCTTCTCTGAATGCTGCTTAAACATACTTCAACTGTTATTACCTCTACTGAATTTGCCGCTGCTATTTGCACCCTGTAAGTTCGAGGTGAAAGTTGTCATTGCCATGACATTCACCCTAATACTAGTCACAACATGGTTGTTGCAATGTGTACAATATACCGTTGCTGCTGCTGAATACTACTCTGCACTTATTCATCAATATTGAAACTTATCGGCAATGCGTCCTGATGTGCTTGAGCATGTTTAAACATGCGTTTGTGGGACATGTTGAACGAAGTCGATTTTCAGGTCTCAAACACGGGCTACTCGGATACTCGCTGTGTTTGCCAGGACTGCGAATTCTCTGTCTGGGGAGGGTTTGGGCGCTGAGATTATGATTGTGACTGTGACCGAAGGGATCGCAATGGACTATTTGAAAAGCCGTCCATCCCGAGACTTTTGGATGTGACTGCGGAGCTGTTTCAATCTCTCAACCGCCTGGACTCTGCGAACGTTTCACATGCAAGATGCCAGTTTCTGGCCAGAGCTTCACCATCATCACTTTGTCATGGGCCCACATCGTAATGTACATCCATTTATGCAGGTTTTTGCTACAGGCACTGCTCCAGTAGATGGTCCATGTTACTCTATGGCTGTGATCGAAGAAGTATGGTGGGTGGCCGCTTTGGCCTGAAAGCCACGAAGCTTTTGGATCTGAAATGTATGCATTATGTTCATGTTGAGAGGCAGGACACATCAGGACACCAAGAGATCTTACACTGATTGTCGTGTACTAAGGGCTAGTTTCGGAGACGTATTTGCTTGCAGTTAACCCGTCCATCCCGGCCCAGGTGGACAGAGTGCAGTGCATCGTGCGAAGGTGGAACTCAGTCACGGCTGCCCGGGCCCTTGCGTGGAGAAGCAGAGAACAAATCGTTTTGACAAGAATACTAGAAATGGCCTCCGACCTAGCAATGGCCTCCAACCCAATAGCGATGGCCTCCAACCTACTAGCAATGATCTCCAACCTACTAGCGACGGCCTCGAACCTAATAGCAATGGCCTCCAACCTACTAGCGATGGCCTCCAACTTATACAATAGCAATGGTCTCCAACCTCCCCAACCTACTAGCGATGGCCTCCAGCCTAATAGAACTAATTAATACTACCGTATTTTAGGTGTCCACCACAAACAACTTCCACGTGTATCGAGTGGCCCGACCTGTGTCATGGACCATCGGCAGAGAACTTACACCAACTCCAGCTGGATCTCAGGTAAAGGATTGTTCTATTTGAGGCAATTATGCAGTGTGGGCACTGTAATGTGGTGCACCACAAAAGGTGTAAAAACCATAGGCAAAGTTTTTGGATCTCATCGACCGAATAGGGTCCAGCAGACTTTGTTTGATCGAACCCATGCAAATATGAACAACTTACACTAGGTGTGGATGCCTTTGCACCGCATGCTGCTGATTGTTTGTACTGTTGGTTCCAACAAAAGCCTCACGCCACTGGATTGAGACTGCACAGGCGTAAAATTGAAACCTTTGCCGACCATGGAGGAACGTCGAGAGCCCTGAAGTTGTGACAGGAAGGGCTGTTCCATATTGTCCCAATGCTCCACAACAGCACAGATGACGACTATAAAATGCTGTAGTACTATGTTGTTTACGGATCTGTGGATGAGTCCTTTCTGGAAATGAATGCAATGTGCTACTACTCGCACATGTTGAATCCTTCTTCTGTTTATTGCGTGGAACTAGCTTCACATGAGGCGCGCATTCTGAGCATCAGGGCCAGTTCTTTTTGACAGACAAACTCAGACTGAGCTGTCAGAAATTTGCAATCATGTTGATTGACATTCAGTGATACATTTTATCACTTATATATTTAGCATTTGATGACCTATATGTATATAACTGTATATATGCATATGTATAACCATCTACAAAATATGTTACATGTCGGGCTTAGGGCTTGTTGAGGCTTGAGGGGACAATGGATGCGGGGATGAAAAGCTTGCTTGACCAGACCTACAGCCCTAGTCACCCTAGTCCCTATGAGGATCGCTCCCTTCGGTCTATGTCAATCAACTCAGATCCAATCAACTCAACCATTAGTATCCCTTCCATCCCAAGTTGTGATTGCAGCACATGACATATCGCTGCATGAATCAGTGATTTTGGCGTATATCAGGGCAAGCTACCAACCGACAAGCAGGCAACAGAATGTGACTTGCTATGACAATATGGGTGTATGTTAGTGCATTTCAGGGTCATTGAGTCATCAGCATACATGGCAAGGGGCTTGGGGCAGTCGAGCAAGAGAAAAGATTGCTCTCGAGGCCTTGCAATGGGATGCTTCGAGAAGCACAAGACAAGACCTTAGCACAAAGTCACAGTCTACAACATGAGCGCTACATAATGATACTAGTAGAAGCAATCTAGTATTTGTTTAATATAATCTATATATATATGAGCATCCGACGAACTTCCGTACACGTACTTTTGCCATGAGCCGCCTTGACTATTTCTGTATTGGTCAAAACCTTGCACAAAACCGATAGGGTTGGTAGACCGATACCCTTTCTTGATCGAAAGTAGGTTGTTGCCTGCACTCCAAAACACTGGAAACCGATAGGGCCAGCTAACGCAAAATACTTATGGCATTGGGAACACGAAGAAGTTTTGTTTGCCACTCATATATATATATATATACACAGATCAGAGAGGCTACGTAGAGAAGCATCAGATCATATGTATAGTTGTTGCATCCTCTTCACCCCATTCACCCTTTGCGTCTTGATTCAGGCATGCAACATCGAGGTTTGCCCCGGCAATGTGTGGCCCCACAGGAGTTGGTTTGATTGGATCTTGAGCTGGTAGGGTCGAACATGCTTGTACAAAATATCTCAAACTTACTCTGGTCTTTGGGCAAACTCATGTCTGGATATGTAGAAATCGTTTTTGCACGCAACAACATTCAAATGAATTCAAGGTTTCATTGGTGGCTTTGACAGTGAAACCAGCACAGGTGGCTTGTGTTCAGTCCGAAACGATAGTTTCTCGAAGTGTTTGGGCAAATTGCTACATTGAGAAACACCGGTTCTATGACACCTTTCATGTTTGGACAACAACTTGCCCAGGTTGCCTGCGAAGTGGGCCCTTGGCAGGATTGGCATGGATGCACTGAGGCTAGCGGGGCTAGTCTACTTGCATGGCGCTGCCGAATCTGCAGCTTTCTGAACAGAGATGGACATCCTTTTTGCCAGTTGTTGGTTCTGCAATGCAAATCAAAGAGTCTATCTCCGTCATGACGTTATGATTTCCATTATATATATATATATTTGTTTTGAAGCTTAAAGCACAAGCGTCTAGGATGTTGTCGGACCTTTCTGGACATTCTGGCGTCGAACGGCCAGCCAGCCGATTGAACTAGAAATAAATACGGCAGTCTTAAGTCATTTATATTTCTTATATATAGTAATTGACGAGTATTATGTTTGGATTTAGAGTGTTCAATGCTCCATTATCTTCTGCAGAGATATGGCCCTGTAGAGATGGAAGCTTCAATGGTATGCAGAACATTGGAAAGCATGATGCAGGTGAGAGAATCAAAAGGATTCATGAGGACGCATGACATGCAGTTCAACTCGAAGAGAGTCGTCAGGCAATGTTCCAAAGGTTTCGAAGCCGCACCCTCGAAAAGGTTCGGGCCCAAGGAAAGAATCATTCTTTGTGCGTGTTTCTATGGGGGCATAGGCCGGTGAGAGGAGCTAAGTAATCATAAGCAATCTTAAGTAGGAAGCAAATAAGTAATCTAAGTAGTAGCTTAGCAGAAATATTGGCAAGTACTCCTAGCAACTAAATAGCAGCTATTGAGTAGTCCGCTACTCGCCAGGACACACTTTTTATCACTTTTTGCTCAGGCATCTTCGAAGCTTCCTCGCCTAAGGGTTCCTTAGAGAAGCCCTCGTATTGTTTTACTTATATACTAAGAGTTCCTAAGGGTTTCTTTACAGGGAACTTTACTAATTATGAGGTTTGCTTGTTCACATCCACCGCAAGTCTCCTTCAGCCTCACTTTTCAGGTCTTGCAGTTGCAAAAAGCACTTGACCCACGTTGGCCACGCCAATCCCAACAGGCAAACAAAGTGAGCTGGGCTGTAGTAACTACAGCCGGGTTGTAGTAACAGATTGCCTCACTTGTGTTTTCCTCTCTTGTTTGCCTGACACCACCAAGGTTCCACAAGTCACAGGAGACCAGGCCAGTTGGAGTTATCAGGGCGTTCGGTCAGTTGAGCTCAAGCAAACAAATCCAGAATTGATAGCCCAAAAGCTAGGTACCCAAGAAACCCATAGCTGGAACCCCAAAGACTGGGAAGCCAAGCCTCGAAACCAACGGATTCATGGCTTACGATGACCCATATGCCCATATGTAGTGACTGGTTGGACCAAAATCGACACCTCATCAACCTATTCTAAAGCCGAGGTGCTGTTCTGTGAGTACAGCTTGATGGAAGCTCAAGGCGCCGTGGTTATTCAGCGGCGGCGGAGACGCGAGGTTCAAGCAACAATCCAGAGAAGGTGTCAGGGTTCTCATTTGCAGCAGGTGTTGCTGCTCACAGGACATAGAAAAAAGCCAAGCCTAAAGTTTAAAGAATACAACATAGATTGTTTCTGAGCTAGGGAGGCCTTCGGAGATGGGAGGGGAACTATCAGATTATCAGCTCGCTACAGACGCATTTTCAAGTGGCAGGGTTTAGATAATTTCCAGATATTGTGCATCAAATTTGTAAAGATAGTCACTGATAGTCCAAAAAGTCAGTTACACTTGTTCTATTTGTTCAAAGAGCCGAACAGGAAATTCTGTATACAGTATAGCATGTTCCTGCCTTCGGTCCAAATTTCCAAGACATCAGAATTAGCAAAACCTACACAATTACATGCTTACACACCAAAATATGTTGTAATATTGGAAGCTACTTAACTTGAACCATGCAGCACCTACCCTGAGCGTGTCCTAGCATCATCCAGGCTGTCCGAAAGGCATGGAGGAGTTTCTTGACTGCAATTTGTAGAGATGGGCGCAGAGGTGGCTGTTTGAAACCTTGAGGCGCAGCGGCGCAGCTTTTCGGATGTTCTGTGCATTCAATTCGCCAATTGCTCCCTAGCAATGCCTTTATTTGTTAAAACTTCGCTTGCAGCACAAGAGTATACGCTAGGGACAGGGTTGCTAGGGTACAAATGCAGGAGCTTTGGCTAGTCGTGGCTAGTCAAGCGACATGTGCGCTTTGTTTGTTGATACATTACATTTGCTTCCGCCTAGGACTTCTTCGTGTAGACAGTAGGCATGTTCTATATTATTTGAAGCTTGAGCCTTGTAGGGATCGTGTACATTGGGCGCATTTTTCTGTTAGCCAGATATTGCATGAATATTTCGATGTTATGCAAGGACAGACTGTATTCTTAGTTCTTACATGTTCTTCCTATATGTATGTAGTGCCAGATTGCTTGCCCCTCCCTTTTTTTTTTTGGAGCCTTGCGGGTGAGTTTAAGGCCGAATCTATGTATGCTCACAAGCTGGTCAGATTGGGGTGCCTGTCTGGAAGCCTTGTATTGTTTTTGTGTGAGGTCGACCCGGTTTGAACGTGTCAAACAGAGATCAAACAATACTTAAGTCCGCAATGTCCACAAATCCTTGCCTATTTTGAAGTCATGTAGTACTACTTTGACATATACTTTTGTCATGACGATGGCAATACAGTGGGAAACAATGATGGCGTTGCTTCGAAGCGACGTGCTATAGTGATCAAAGAAACAAGCTTTTCTGCGTGTAGCATGTTTCAAGATCGAGACCGCTTTGCAGTGTAATGAGTTCTTCAAGATCCAAGAGTCATTCTTATTCATGTTTCGCTAAAGTTCGGAAACATGGAAACGATAATTGAACAAGAAATGAGGCTTAAGACAAGGAGCTGGACAGAAGCCGGATAAGGACATTTTTCGCCTTGAGGTCTTACCTTGCATCTGAGTTTGCTCACCGACTCCCTGACAGTTTATTTCAAAGGTTCCTCCTGTCCCATGTTTAGGTTCTATGCCATTTCTTTGAACCACATAACTTTAAGCACGTTTGCGGGACTTGCTCGGCATGTTCTTAGGCATGCTGAATTGGCCATGTGCCACACAGGTCATTTCTTGTGAAATGTGCAAGACTATGAATTCATAAGACTTCGGTATAGTATAGAAACACAAATAATGACACTGTGGCGTCCTCGGCTTTACTTAGGCTCCAGCGAATGCGATGGAAGCAAGAGTCGCAATCGATCCATCGTTGAGTACATGAAGAAGACCTGTCATGTGAGACCTCAGACCGGAGTGTTCAGGATTTTGACACTGTGGGCAATGGCAATGACATGCAATGACCATGACGACATCATGCCGTTCTTGCGGAATATGGGGGTTTCAGACTACTCATGCTAGTCTGAGTCATGCAACCGGAACTGTTTGAGAATTACACTAAGTCCTGTGAATACCTTTGAACTTGTCTAAACGATACATGTCCAACTCATTCTGAATGCAGGTCAGCAGTGTTGCAACCTTGGGGGAGGTTACTGAGTGCGGCAGCCGTGAATGCCATCACAGGCATCTCAGGGTGAAGGGCATGGGTCATGGGTCACAGCCGAAGTGTACTTCCATTGACACAATGATGTCAACTGATCAAATGTTCAACATCCCTTTTCATTGAGTTACCCTTGCCATCCTTTAGCACAAAAACAAATTTGCAAAGTTCCAGTAAATGTGAGAAAGAGATCGCCAAATTTGGGTGTTTGATGAGGATGGAGTTCCGTGGCATCCAAAATCAAACCACTAGAAACCAAGCTCAACACCAGACGTCCCGTGTTGAGATTGGTTGGGACTCTTTCCTCCAACGGGTCGAGTCGAGAGCTGACTGGACCTGGTTTGGGTCTCACTGGAACCAAATGAGGTGACTGCCTGCATCCAAGCCAGTGATCGCAGTTGACCCACTTGATACAATTGACACACTGGCTCCACCCGAACCATTGGTCCCAGTGGACCCAGTTGAACACTGCCTCCATGCAAGCCGATGGTCCCAGTTGACCCAGTTGAACCCAGTCGACCCAGTGGGTCAACTGAGACCACAGATTTACCGGCCCCCCTGTGCCGATGCGCTCCAAAATCACATCCCAAACTTGCTTACTGTAATTTCAGAAGCGGCTAGAAAGGAGCACATAAGAGCGATGGCCTCCAACCTAATAGCAATGGCCTCCAACCTATTCATTTCAGAAGCGGCTAGAAACGATAGCTACGGTACAACGCAGCCATTGTAAGACTCAAAGTCCTGCCTTCGTGATGAGGTGACTATGAGATTTGGTTTTGTTTCTTCTCGTTTGGTCGATATAGTATTTTTTTTGTTTTTTTACATATATACAGTGGGGTTGTCCTTTTACCTCTAACTTATTTAGAGAAAGGCCTTTACTAACCATCATCATGCATTGTTACTGGTAATGGGACAGTCGTTGTCGGTGACACGGACAGACTGAGCATCATGAAGCGTATGTGCTGAAAGGCCTTGCCAAATGAGCGAATGGAGCGAGTGGAGTGCATGCTCTCATCGGTGTGGGTCGGAGTCCCAGTGTCAAAAACCTGCAATTGGAACATGGAGTTAAAGGGAATAACAAAAAGAAGGTGTTTGGGACCCTTTTAATTAGATAATAAGGCCCCTTCAATGGGGCTCTTATTGAAGGGTTCCAAGCACATCCCAAACACCTTGTTGTTTCTACTCCCTTTATTCGCATCGAAGAAGACACTGTACGAGTAGGAGGCATTGCGTTTGACTTGTCGTTGCACCTTCAGGCCTGGTGTGATGGATCGACAACGTGAGGTCCTTGAGGGTGGAAACTGCGCGGCTTCCCAGTTGGTTTTTCAGATGACATCAATTTGCATCATGTCAGTGTCATGCCAATTCATGTCAATGTGGCAGGTTTGCTGGTACTTGGGAGGGGACAGTGATCCACTTGATGAGCTGCTGTGCTGCTGCGTGCTCACTTTCTATTGTCAAGGTGATGCGGCTTTGAAAGAACTGCGAGAGTGTCAAGTCTCCGTTTGCCAACCAGAAGATTGTGAATGGGTGTGGGGACACAGTCGAGCGAGATGATTGCGGCATGAGGCGACTGTTTGACGAACTAGACTTTTAGTCCCAATGAGATAAAATAATTGTCAGAAGTATCGAGCTCTATCGAGGTGCTCATTTTTTGGTCCGTGACCAAACAATGTTGATGTTAAACCGTGTTGATTTATACAGATGCGGACTCGGACAGCCATGATTCAAGCTTTGCAATGGTAGTAGGCCGTGAAGTCTATCAAAAGAGCGCTTCGCTGCAAGAGTGTTGCTGCAAAGCTATGACAGACTAGAGAGCGACTGTCCATTGGGTCACACAATGTCACACAAACAATTGTAAATGCATTAGGCCAGGCGCTCCTGGTAGCGTCCTTGCTCCTAGTAGTGAGCGAATGTCAACTTGCAAGTCTGGGTTGTTCGGAAATTGAGTTCTTTGCATCAGGGTGACTGGACCTTCTGGAGTAGCTGCACCAAGAGCTGTGGCTCCGGGGTGCAACGGCGTCATCGTGAAGTCGCTACGGCAGCTTGGTCGCATCAATGAACCTTTATGACATACTGAAATTACCACTGCACAACTCAATGCCACTACGCTACTCAACTCCTTTTCATATGTTTGCCCCTTTTTTAGAAATTGTGTTTTCATTTCTTTGGCTTCGCTAAATGTACTGGGTTGTTTTGGTGTCATTTACACGGAGAGCAGGGCAAAACATATTATAATCTCTCTATTGATGCATGGTTTCCTACGCAAGGCACCTCGACATGGCGGAAGGTCCTGTGATCCAAATGCAAGAGAAGAGGCCAGGGGCCCGATGTATTTTCTCATGTTTTGTTTGGTTCGATTTAGTCGTGATCACACCACACGCCAATGTGCACCACTAAACCTCAAAGAGCAGAGAAGGCTAGCGCTTAAGAAGAGTAACCCTCACACTAGTGTTTGCCTTGTTGTACCGTGCCAGCAACACTGCGCAACCACCGTGTAGATATTGCTTGGCAAAGGCAATAAAGGTTGCTCCAGTGTTCGCTTGATGCTTTTAGCTTACATAAAATTCAGCAAGCTGACCAGTTGGGGTGTATTGTTGATCGCTTCCTCCTTCCGTGCTACGAATGTTGAATGGCTTCCCACAGGCAATGTGCCAGAGCGGTTTGAGAGTGATTGGTTCAATGCAGAAGATCGCTCTAGGTGCCATAGTGTCAATCGCATGTTGCTTTCTTGGCTGGAAAACTAGTTTGTGCTTTGCGGCGCAGGTTGGTTTTTGCAACAACCAGACCTGCGACTCGCAGCGCTGGCATGTTGACCATACTTGTTGAGACCAGACATTTATATAGTATTTAATATGTATATATATTATGTTGCACATACACATATATATATATTAATATACATATTTGGGAAGTCAGTGTCTTGTAGAAATTGTGGTTGTATCCTTTCGATGACCTTCGTGTTGTAATGTTTAGCCACATTGGCATCAGCGCCAAGATTCCTCAGTGGAGTAGCCAAAGATTCCTCAGTGGAGTAGCAACAGCATGTTCAAAACATCCAATGCAAGGCTCAGGGTAACTTCTGTCAGCTGTAGTTTGACTCTTGCTGCCACTTGCTAGATTGTCCTCACCCCCTACACGGGGTCATGGCTGCGACAGTCCTCCTTGTCAGTGCTTTCAACAATGTGTGCCAGGTGTGTAGACGGGAAGCAGCGGGCCCAGTCTTTCACCCCCTTCGCAACCCGCGTCACCACCAAGTGGGCGTGTCAGAGAAATGCTTGTCCATTGACTCGATTGGAAAGGTTCCATCAACAGACGAATCGAATTGTATGAAAGTATGGTTTCCAAGATCCAGAGGCAGCGCAGTGGCAGTTTGAACAAGTACATTGACATAGGCAAAGCAAAAGAAGAGCCAGAACCAGCTTCATACAGTAAGATGGGTCGAAAAGGCAAAGGAAAAGGAATGATGCAACAATTCAGTTAGAAAAGAATTGAACAGTAACGGAACAAGTTTTTGGAGGAGGCAAGGGTCTGAAACAAACGCAATGAGATAGAATTGTGTTGAGCAATGGCAGCCATACATGACCAACCATCAAATAACTGTGTTTTTGGTGAACAAAATGTAAACAAACATGCAACACAAAAGCAAGTAACAAAGCAAAAACAAAGCGCAACAAGAGGCCAACAAAACAAAAAACAACACAATTAATCAACATGGAGCTTGCGTGTTTGACATGTTTTTTTCGCTTTATGTTTATGTTGTTTTGCTTTACCTTTTGCTGTTTTAACGATTTGTTTGCTTTAAGACTCTAAGACATTATTTTGGCTCCTTGTATCTATGGCTGGCGTGCCCGACTCAAAGATAGAAGTGGTTATGAAAACAAATTCTCAAGCTTGGTTTGGCAGTATGAATCTGCAGAGTTTGCCTTGGAAACAGTTACTGAAACTGCCAGAGCTTGCCCCAAGATCCGGATAATATATATATATATCATTTTTGCTGTGCTGTCAACATATTGTGCCCATACTCGGTGACAGTACCTGGTAGGAGATTGAGATGGCCGAGAAATGTTGGTTTATCACTGAAAAGTGACGTTGATTCAGTAGAGAAGTGTATAATACAGCGTTTTTTGTCATATTTCTGCAAGATTTGTTGGGTTGCTTTGCGAGGTCAAACTGTTGAAACCTCCCCCGGCTTCTCAGTTTTGAGCGTTTCTCTCAACTATTTGCAGTTCTTCAGGGTTTGCATGAAACTCACTTAAGATACTTGAGGAAACTTCTGAAGTAGTTCCTTGGATTAGATATACCGAACCTCCTTTGCTGCAGACTCCTAATTCCTGGTGCAGAATGTGCGTTGACTTGAAACAAAATGGTGGCTAGAAAAAGGCTGGTGAGAAGGAAAGGTACTAGGACCCTGGGACCTCGAAGGTAATGGAGTAATGGAAGGTGGAAAGGAGAAGGCAGAGAAAGACAAGGACCCTGTCTCTTGTGTAGAGACCCTATGTGACTTACAGCCTCAAGGTGGGGACCTTGGAGTCCTTGGGGTCGGTGCTCTTCAACCTGCAAGCCAGCCTTTCGGGTGCGGCAGCCCAGCTGATGGAATTTACTCCCGTGGAGATTAAGAGCGATGCCCTTTGCTCCTAGTGGCTTCTTTTTCCTAGTAGTAAGGCCAGGAGCCCCTAGTAGGGTCCTTGCTCCTCCCAAAAATCACGAGGTCAATTCTCAGGGTCCACGTCTGCCACGGGGTAGCTAACCGGGGAAGCCTCCAAGGTGCAGGTAAGAACACCTCAAGAGATTTGTAGCAAGTACAAGCACTCTATGATCTTTGAATATTTTTTCCCGAATGCGTAGCGAAGGGTTCTCGTTTAACTCTTGGGGGTCTGGGGGTAGAGCTTTGTTCGCGACCCGTTGCTTCTATGTTCGCAACCGTCCGCAACCGTTCGCAACCGTCCGCAACCGTCCGCAACCGTTCGCAGTAGAGCGCTAAGGCGCTGCCATTGGGGGAAGCTTTTGCACGTGACTATGCATGGATGTGTCACGTGTGAGTTTGCGACGCGAGTCCATTGTGATTTGCATGAAAAACACATGTCGCGCAAGAAGCGTGATGCATTTCGCTGCACAGGCGCAGCGTTTTGTGAGATCCGCAGTTCGCGTCGCAGTTCCATTGGGATTAGCGTTTGGAGAGTCGTGTGTTTGGGGTGTTGGATGTGGCCGTGCCATTGGGATTTGCGTTTCAGGGTGTGGCATCGAAGCTCTGTTTTCGTGACAAGTCTCAGCTGAAATGCCGATTTTGGTGGATGGGAGTGTGCTCAGAACGGATCGAAATCATTCCAAACGTGTGGTGTGGTGCAAATTTGGTTGAAGCTCGCATGAGATGACAATGTTACTTTTCGTGGCAGGCGCAGGACTTTGTGCAGGTTTTGAGGTGTGGAAGTGGGATTTTCGTGGCAGGCGCAGGGAACCGTGAGGCTGCGATGTGTGACGGAGGTGACATTTCGTGGCAGGCGCAGTACTTTGTGCGCGTTAGACGTGTGGACGCGGAAAGATTCGTGGCAGGCGCAGGGAATTGGGAGGTTGTGAGTTGTGGTAGAGGTGAATGTCGCTGTCACATTGGGATTGGCGTGTGAGCGGGTGTCGTTTGGAGGGGCTGGAATCGCGAAACTGCTTGGCAGGGCTGCATGATGTGTGTGCTCCGATGGACTTTTGGAGGAAGTCTCGTGCGAAACGTTCGTTTTGCAGACTTTGACATGTGAGTTTTTGAGGAAGTCTCGTACGAAACGCTCGTTTTGGGGACTTGACATGTGACTTTTGGAGGAAGTCTCATACGAAACGCTCGTTTTGGAGACTTGACGTGTGACTTTTGGAGGAAGTCTCGTACGAAGAGTGTGCCCTACAGGAGTGTCCCACAAGAGTGTCCTACAAGAGTGTCCCACAAGAGTGTCCTACAAGAGTATCCCACAAGAGTTTCCTACAAGAGTGTCCCGCAAGAGTGTCCCACAAGAGTGTCCTACAGGAGTATCCCACAAGAGTGTCCTACAAGAGTGTCCCACCCACAAGAGTGTCCCGCAAGAGTGTCCCAAATGAGTGTCCCACAGGAGTGCCCCACAAGAGTGTCCCGCAACAGTGTCCCGCAAGAGTGTCTCACAAGAGTGTCCCTTAAGAGTGTCCCACAAGAGTGTCCCGCAAGAGTGTCCCAAATGAGTGTCCCACAGGAGTGTCCCACAAGAGTGTCCCGCAACAGTGTCCCGCAAGAGTGTCTCACAAGAGTGTCCCTTAAGAGTGTCCCACAAGAGTGTCCCGCAACAGTGTCCCACAAGAGTGTGTCCCACAAGAGTGTCCCACAAGAGTATCCCACAAGAGTGTCCTACAGGAGTGTCCCACAAGAGTGTAGGGGAAGAGTCTCCTACAAGAGTGTCCCACAAGAGTGTCCCACAAGAGTGCCCTATAAGAGTGTCCCACAAGAGTGTCCTACAAGAGTGTCCCACAAGAGTGTCCTACAAGAGTGTCCCACAAGAGAGTCCCACAAGAGTGTCCCACAAGAGTGTCCCACAAGAGTGTCCTATAAGAGTGTCCCACAAGAGTGTCCCACAGGAGTGTCCCACAAGAGTGTCCCACAAGAGTGTCCCGCAAGAGTGTCTCACAAGAGTGTCCCTTAAGAGTGTCCCACAAGAGTGTCCCGCAACAGTGTCCCACAAGAGTCTGTCCCACAAGAGTGTCCCACAAGAGTATCCCACAAGAGTGTCCTACAGGAGTGTCCCACAAGAGTGTCCCACAAGAGTTTCCTACAAGAGTGTCCCACAAGAGTTTCCTACAAGAGTGTCCCACAAGAGTGCCCCACAAGAGTGTCCCACAAGAGTTTCCTACAAGAGTGACCCACAAGAGTGTCCCACAAGAGTGTCCTACAAGAGTGTCATTTGGACATATGTAGCTTTTTGAACGTGTTTGCATTCGGGTTCGTGGGCTCCATCTTGTTTCCTACAATGAGTGATTGTTCTGCATGCTGGCCCCATGATTCGTGGAGATGTGGGTTTGCCTACAAGAAAAAAAACAGATAAGAGCAAACTAACAAATCTAACTAACCATTGCGAGGAGTCCACAACCTGAAATAACAGTGCCGACAACTCGAGCTGCTCAAAGGTACGACATCGAGATCCTCAGGAGTTCCCAAATCACTGCGGAATGCCTGTCTTGGCCTCATCAGATTGCTGATCATGCTACAGATTGCTACAGTATATCGACTAGAGAATGTTGAAGGTGCTGGTGGGGAGCGGACACATTCTTGAATCAGCTTCACAATGATCAATGATGAATGCATTTGGCCTTCGAACTAAACCCTCAGATTGACCCAAGACCATTGGAGCAAGTTCCTAGTAGTAAGGCCAGGAGCCCCTAGTAGCGTCCTTGCTCCTAGTAGCGATGCCATTGCTTAGTCCGCTCCTTTGACCGCTCTCAAGGCCTTGGGACTTGAAGATGAATACGAGCTTTGCGAGTATCTTTCGGACCGCCCAGACGGGGCGGACGGCCCCGATCGGCCCTCCAAAACTTGTTGCATAGGTTGAACGGTTGTTTTGGCACAAAGTGTGCAACATGATATCACATGATGTGCAATGTCACATGATACTGTGTGCTGAAATGAACCTTTCGTAGTGTTTGATGACACGTGTTTCTGGCTCATGAAAACTAGCACTTTTGCATGATCTCGGTTTGATTGATGTGGATTTTGCTGTCTGGGAGGTTGGGGCAAATCAAAACTTGGCTGAAACAAAATGCATGTGTGCCTTTTGCTTGCACCCTATGAAATTGTCCCTTGAAAGAAACATCCAACATCCCATCCTGTTGATGCAAGCGGAGAGTCGAGCTTGCATGAAAGGCACGATACAGACCATTGACGCAAAGTTTCTGCCATTGAGTCTGCCAGGAATGCGATGAGAGTCAAGACTGCATGCTCTCGTTCGGTCTCCCAGATTTGCCCCCATCATAAAGCAGCTTGAGCTTCCAGAGTTTGCACAAGTTCGGGCTGGTTGGATTGGTGGGCACCAGCTAAGATGAGCTCTTGAGGTCTCCAATTAGTACGTTTAAGATCTTTTTGGTTTGTTGGATCCGTAAAGGCACATGTACAATCATTCAGGAAATTGTTTGGTTCAATGGTGTACTTGAGCTTGATTAGTCATATTATATCATGAACATGCTCGGCGAAGGCAAGCCCTCGTACTACACAAAGTACCTGGCTAGGGATTAAAACAGCTATATATATATAGATTAAAACAACATTTGAATGTCCTGGATTTGATCTTGGTGTTGTGATTCCGATCTGCTTTAGGTCGTGGAGTCCTTGGTCCGATTGCAGCTGTGAATGCTTCGGAATCAAAGAACGCTCCAAGCGTATTGTCGATCACCCAGTGGAAATGGGATGGAGTGGAGTGTGAGATAGTCTGCGACTCGTCATCTGAATGGCTATCAGTTTTCATCTCCTTTGTCTCATTAAGCTTCTCGAACAGTCCAACTAAATGTTGGTTCTGTTGCTCCAGGTAGAAACATTCAGTGGTTGCATTTTGTTTTATTTTGCAGCTGCCAGTTTGGTGTGTTGGTCGGTGAGAGCCTTTGCATCAGAAAAGCCAGTTCAAGACAAAATTGAGCTGTTTAATTATTATACTTCGCTTGACTCTGATTGCCAGAGTACAGCCTGGAGGTGCTGCACAAGTCGATAGTTCTTTCGGGTTGAATGGCAAGAACATACAACAACATGAAAATATGTAGTCATGAACGTTGGAGTTTGATATATTCCTAGCAAAGATCTTCAACTTTTTTGTCCACTATCTTGAAGATCTTACTGCAGTTCTTTTCCTTTGGATCTGAAAGGAGTAAGAGAGCCGATGAGGTGCGCAATGCCAAAGGCGACGGAAAGCAATGCTGCAATCCCAGTCTAAAAGCATGCAGAGTATAGAGATAGTGGTCACATAGATTGTGACAACAACAACGGCAGGCATATCCAGGAAGGACCAAGACACATTAATGCCTTTGAGATTTGTTTCAAGTCACTGCAACGGCATGGCTTGCTTGTCGCAAGTTGGTGCGAGCATTGCTGTTTGTCTATGGTCTACATTGAGTCTATGGAATCTACATGTTAAATATAACGCAAACCATATGTCTATGTTGTGCTGTTCATTCTTTTTTTGCTCTTTATTTGCCAAGGTAATGGCACGATGAAAGAAGTATGGCCTTGCAATCCAGCGCTCGTGCTCCCAGTGTGCTTGTGACTTTGTATTGGAGACCTCCCATAAGGGACTCCCATAGGAACTTGTCATAGCTTGTGACACAGCAACAAAATCTATTGCACCTGTGGCAAGCTCTGATGGCAATCCAACAAAACCATGTTGGTGTTGTATTTTTCGTGTGAGATACATCTGAGAGGGCTTGTAAACTTTACAATTGTTTTATGTTATTGCCGTCGTCGATGCCGCATTAAAAATCCAAACAGAAGACTGAACTGGCCAGACAGGCTTGACAGACAAAACAAGTGTGTACAAGCAGATTTGCAGGTCGCTATTTGCTCAATATGAAGAGCCACACATGATGATATATATATATACAGTGTGTATCTATGTGCTTTGAGTGTGCTTGTTTTCCTGATGATGACTGGAGAGACCCCTCCAAGTGTATATAGAGTGGAGACGAAAGCGACAATGTCAGGGTACATGAATTAAGAGGAGTCGTACTGCGCAAACTTTTTGCGATGAGCATCTCACTTGCCATTTACTTGCAAGGGCTAACGAGGACATACCAGAGAAATGCCTCAACAGTCTCAAGGCGGAAGCCAAGGGAGCGGAGGGATGGGGTTGCGAAGCGAAAGGGTGCCAAAGGGGGCCACAACTGGAAAACACTGTCGTACAAACTGTGTCCACTGTGCAAGAAGCTGTGATCATCGACTGTCTACGGTTTTTGTCTATGTGTTCATGAATTTACTCATGTTGTGGGCTACCAAGTCCACGGAAAGCAAAAAGCAGTCTCACAAAGAAAATTTCACAGCCTGTCTACTCAAGCTGCTTCAGACTCAACAACGAGCTTTTGTTTACTAGTCGGCTACTTGGCCTGGCCCCTAAAAATATGGACATTTCAGTTTTCATTCTTCACAGGAAGGCGATTGCGAAGTTTCTGAATGGACAGTCCGGTTCTGAGAGCTGGTGCTCAGGTGTCGAAAGCGCCGACAGATTGACAGTGCTTTTCTTAGGCATCCAATATAAAGGTATCCAACCTAATAGTCATGGCCTCGGACCTAATGGTGTTTTAAAAAGGCATCCAATACAAAGCAAGAGAAAGCCAGAAAAGTAACTTCTCACGACTGAAGTGTGGGTGCAAGGGGGAGTGCCATTTGGTGGCTGTTGGGCAATTGTTTGGTTTTCCTCCAGGACAATATCTCATCGAGTTTTGATAGCGGAAGCAGACCTAGTGTGGGATAGCGATGGGTGTGTTCAATGATCGGTGGCTTGTTCCTAGTAGCGAACCTTGTTACTACTAGTAAGGCACCTGTTACTACTAGCGTGGCACTTGTTCCTAGTAGCTTCTACTGTTTGTTTCGCACATTTGTGGACTTTTTTGGTTCATCATCCATGGACAGTGAACTCACAGTTCACCATGATTGCAAGAAAGCTGCAGGTCTTATTTCAGGTATATATAGGTTCGCACGCTTTGCAACAAGTGACGAAATGCATCCATGCATATCTATGCCATTCTTCACCCAGGCGTTTGGTAGAAAGACAGGATGCGCAGTGCTGCTTACTTTGGATCAGAAGAGAAGACGAGATCAACAGTGCGCTGTGTTCGTTAGCTCTCCTTGAGGACTGGACTCCGTGCTCGGCCACCTGTGTGCCTTGGCAAGTCCAAATTATTTTGCTGAACAGTTGGTTGGACATGCAGACATTGCCTTAATGTTTTGACAAGACGGACAATAATTTTGGTGCAGCTTTGAGCATTCAGTTCACATACACACCATATACTGTACGCACTGAACAGCATGCTTTGACATGACTGTCTGTATTTGCCCTGGAATCCATCTATGAATCTGACTTGCTAAGCCCTCCCTGTGAACTGTTCAAGGAAACCATACCATACGCTTCAGCCTTCTCTTGCAGGCAAAGTACCAACGATATTGGTGCACAATAGAGCCATTCCCCCCCCACAAAATGAATCAAGGTCAAACACCACCAATCTCAATCATTACATTTTGAGGTAACAGGTTCTGTTGCACGGCAGTCATCAGCAGAGCCCAGGATGGTGGTCAGCGAGAGCGCGACCGGTCAATAGAGCAACTGGCACATTTGAGATGTAAAACTGAAGTGTGATGCATGCCTGGTCCAGGTTCTGTTTGTCACTGTTTGTGCACATCTATGTGGCCATGTCCAAGCTGCCAGGAAACTCCCAACAAGAAGGGAGGTGCTCCTTGCAACAATACGTTGAAAGAGGCTGGAGACCTAGTTGGAGGTTGCTTGCCCGACGATGAAATGTAAATTGTACCGCTTGTCAACCTCGGCAATGCAAAGAGTCACCAGAGAGAGAGGAAGGAACATAATACCAATGGCCTCCCCCCTAGTAGCGATGGCCTCCAACTCCAACCTAAATAGCGATGGACACCGTCAAATATTCTGGCAGTTTCTGGAAGGTCGAAGCATGTGCCACTCAAGTTTGCGCAGATCACCAGGAATGTTTGGCCATGTGCTCAGAATGCGAAATGCCGAGCATCAGCCTTGTGTTTCTGAAGACAATCGCTGTTGTTGTGACAATTGTTTGCGCAAGCAGCGTGATCTTAGTTGGTCAAAGTAATGAGCCATAATGCATTCAGATGATCAGTTGAATCCTAGATTCAACATGATTCAACTCCTGTATGCCTAGTCTTGTCAATGGGGTGCTTGGAGCGACTGGGGTCTTTGCTCAAAATGCGGTGGTCAGCGTCGAAACCTCAGAGGAATATTCATGTTTTGGAGAGAGGAATAGACATAGCAACTATGAATAGAAGCAATAGCAAGTGTCGGAAAAAGTATTTTTCTGCCCATGTGTTTGCCAGAGTTGCATGGCCACTTCCAGATTCTTTAGCTGTTTCTGGATTGAGTGTGTACAATCACTTTGATGTCCTTCTCTTTCCTCCACAAACTGGCTCCACCAGTGTTCACCGTTCTAGTCGCTGCAGAAAGGCACGGTTTGCTTTAGTGGCACAAGCGCCTGTGGTCTGAGGATATAGACATCGCATTATCGCGAGAATGTGAGGATCTGAGCCTCTAGGGCCAATGCCCATTTGTATTGCAGCCTCTTGATTTTCCAATGCTTTTTTGATGCTCGAAAAAATGGTCTTTGGATCAAGCGACATTTGGATAAATAACGTGCTTTTGCAGATGACTGTTGATGTGCGCCGGACTGAAGACCACTGTAACGAGAAATGAGGGTTGCAATTGATGACGTTTTGCCCCTAGTCGGGTCCTTGCTCCTAGTAGCGATGCCAGGAGCCCCTAGTAGCGTCCTTGCTCCTAGTAGTAAGGCCAGAAGCCCCTAGTAGCTTCTTGTTCCTAATGGCTGGTGAAGATTGAATGAAGGATCATTTGTTGCACTGCCACTTCTCATAAATTCTATAGTTTGTTCTGTCAGCGTGTTTTGATGGAACTCTATTACGTTCTTGTGATTGATTGTGTTGTGTGTCTTGTCTTTTTCATGATTTGTGGATAGAACATCCAGTGCGCTTGTAGACTTATATCTAGATGAGGCCGAACTGGTGCGGTGCACTATGTGACCCAGGAGCTGCCAAGGAGGTTCAGACTCTTCAGCCTGGTCGCTCGCGAGCTGGAGCTCTTTAAACAGATTTAAAAAAAACACATTGTGTTTTCGTTCTACAATAAAACATGTTGATTTCATTCAGTATACAAGCATATTATATATAATATAATTATGTTTTGGACGATCGTCACTTTACAATTGAATCACGGGTTGCATGATTGTACATGATTGTGGAAGCTCTAGAACCTCGTGTGCTGATCAGTGCCCAACAAGAGACACCTTGTTTGGTTGGTGGACTATCTTTAGAAAGTCAGGAAACCTTCACCAAACAACAACGTTCCGGACTCCTTGTGGCGCGCGCCTGCATGCCCTGGCTGTTGCATCTTTTCAGAGCATGATCCAAGCGTTGTCTTTGTCTAAATTCCCTAAAAGCATGCCCTTGCCCAACAGAACATAGTAGGCCGGTTCCCTTGCCCTCGAAACTGAGAACACAGCCCTCGCGCAGCAGTTGAACCAGGAAGCACAGCACTGGCGCTGCGCGTGAAGGAATTGTTCTTACAGCAGAAAGGATCGTCCTGGCGTAGCGCGTCAACCGATTGTTATTACATTATATTGCATGTTATTACCACCCCGCCACCAACCCACCTTATTTATATACATAACCGACACATAGCCTTACCTGTAAATCTCTTTGTCAGCTCTCCGAGCATATTAACCATAGAAAATTACTTTTGGCGGTCGCGTGAGGCAAAGCACACGATCCCCTGTAAACAATAATGCATAAAACGGCCTTGGCGTCGCTGTGCCACTGGGATTTGCTTCCCACGCCGCAAGCGCAACAAGGGTACTGGAAGGAACAGCAAAACAGGTAGTAGGCCTATGATGCCAGAACGATGTCGGAAAGATCGGTTTGCAAATATTTTGTAGTCATGAGCTTGTGTTTATTGCGAATAATTTGCCAAGATGATGTGGTGCAATAAACTATTGAGCAGTCAGTGAGTAGTCTTGCGGGTTGCAACAAGCTCATTCGCAGGTGGGAGAGTGTCATAGCCATTGCTCCGACCAGATGTACTGTCTGTGGACAGATTGGACAGATGCCAGCAGTGCCACAGCCCAGACACGCAGGTCTGATATGGTCTAATGGCAGTTTGTCAAAGATAAAAAAGGCTCAACACCAGTCAGCAGTGGTGCATTTTTGTCGAGACGGTCCTCTAAGTGGCAACATTGGAGGTTGCCAAGAATTAGAATTAGATCAGTTATATATATAATTACAGTTCCACCAGAGCTAATTCAACCAGGGTACGCAGAGGCTGCACAATTAAGTTGATTTAGACTGCTTCCTGAAGCTGCCTTTCTTAGAGCGTTTTTGAGTTGAGGTGGTTGCAGTGCCGAGTGCGGGCATGCATCACGGATTCGGGAACGCCATCTCACAAGCACTGCTTGGTGACTTAGGGGCAAACTGTACTCAGGAGTATCGTTGTTGAGTTACTCAGCAGTTTGCACATTTGGCAAGAAAATATACACTAATTACCTTCACACCCTTCAGCTTCAAGAAGAGCTTGTTCTTTAAACTTACTTAG